AAAAAAATTCTTGAATTTTTTTTTCGACGCCAAAAAGGTGAAACAACAAAATTCTCCGTCAGACGAGAGACAATACATTGTAGATTATGACCGTATTTTTTTTTGTCTGAGATTACACTGACGGGAGATTTTAAGTACACCGTTAAAAAAACGGTCTTGCGCTACATGGAGCCCTACAGTAGAAATTTTAATTTTTTTTTTACCAAAAAATTTATTTGAACACTTGAATTTATAATAAAGATAATGGTTTAAACGGATTTCATGTATTATTCATATTTTACCAGAAAAAAATTCCTAAAAATTAGGTTGTTTTTTACTTCGTCAGGGTATACTAACTCCTTAAGGAAACCAATGTACTGTTCGGAAAACACAAGCTATTTTTTATTAATATTGTACTACATATATTTAATATCTCTAATAAATTTATATTTTTATTAGGTAACGTTTTTTCCCCTCTCAACTACAATAGTAAATTATTTATACATAAAATGCAAGACGTAATTTCTGACTGTTGAATAAAACTTATAAAACAAATATTCGTTGCAACAAATTAAGTATAACACCAACATTTTCCATTATGTTAAATTTCTAAATCTATATAAAAATACTGGGTAAAATTAGATAATAAATAGTAATCAGTTAGAAAATATTATTTATACACATTTAAGAAAAAATTTATTCATCATCAATTTTACGAGTTACAAACTGTCTTTTCATTTCAAATGTAACAATACCAACAGCTACGCCAACATTTAAGCTGTCAATGCCATTAGTCAATGGTATATTAACACGAGTGCAATTTCTTGCGCGCAATAGTTTACATGATTCGAGACTCACACCTTCAGTTTCCCCACCAATAACAAGTACCATTTCTCTTTCTGTAAAATTTAATTCAAAATAGGGTTTAACTGGAAGTTGAGATATTATCTTTTTTACTAGCAATTTAGTTTTTGCAGTTGATTTATATGCTTTAGTTTGACTTATTAATTGGTTTATCGTATTATCTTCAATAATTTGATCGTTACTCGGATCTAGATTATCTTGTTTGATACAATCATCATCGAATTCAATGTCAGGGCTTGATTCTGAATTATCCGTACAATCTCTTAAATCATTTTCATACGCTACATTGTTGTCCGCTAGAAAAATTGCAGACTCATTACTTATCAACGTCGGAATTTCATCCCATGAAAGAGATGTAAATATTGGCAGGCGAAAATGTGCACCTATAGCACTGCGCAAAACTTTGGGTTCCCATAGATCCACACAGCCTGAAGTACAAAACACTTGAATTAATGAAAAATTAAGCCACCTTTGAGGCCTTAAAAGATCGTTCTAAAACCTCAAAGGTGGCGTAACCCCTTAACGAGCCACGGAATTAGTAATGGCGCGCAAATTACCTTTCATCAATAATAACTTTTCGCAACCAACTGCGGCAGCAGCTCTTACAATAGTTCCCAAATTTCCTGGTTCTCTGACATTGTCACAGATAATAGTCAAAG